TTTATTGTTTAATAGAGGAGAAAGCACTGGAGTAGAGTTTGGGGGTTACTGCTTGTGATCCTGATGTTGCTCATAACTGGACGTTACTCAGGATCTCTCTTTTTATCTCATCTTAAATTGAGAGGACTGGAGTCAGTCTTAAAGGGTTTTTCCCAAGATGCATTTCAGCTTTGCAGGAGAGTTTCAGCAGCAATCTCAGTGGCTTTCAGTTGTTGGAAGAGATGCACTTAGCCCTGGCATCTTCAAATAGCAAGTCCCCTGGCACTCTCCTTTCTAACTTCTCTTCCGGGGAAGGAGTCTTGGGGTTTTCCTTCAGGTTCACAGCTTTTGAGCTGTGGTCTTTCCCTTTATTGTCCTACCATCATTCTGATTAGTTCCTGAGTTGTAAATAACTGTTTAGGTAGAAACTATTTTGTTCACTGATGTATCCCAAAGGCCTTAATTAGTGCTTGGCCTAGTGAACATAATATATAGGAACTCACAATTTTGTGGAAGGGCCTGTTGGAGATTTGTGCAAGGTGGGCACAGGGCAGGCAGCTTTGTTTAGGCAGTGTTGGGCTGGAAGGGGGAACTGTGGTGAGAGAAGGTGTTGGGATGTTTGAACTGGATTTTTGAATGGTGATTTCCTTCCAAGGTGCCAAGGAGGGTTTGAAATATTAAGGGAAAAGCTTAGGAAGTTAAGCCATAAAACTAGATGATGAGCCATAAAACTTCAACCCCATGCAAAGAATTTGGGATTTCCTGTTGATAGAAGGTAACTTGCAGGATCTGAAGCAGGTAGATATGTAATTAGGTTTGTATTTTAGGGGGATTATTGATGGTGACAGAATTTGAGCAAGGGACATGGGATTGGAGAAGAGATGATGGATTCATTAAATATTTAGGGGCTTAGGAAGTCATGGCTAAGAATGAGCGGGAGAAAAGAGTCTCTGTTTTGATTTAGGAAATTCTGTGGAGGTGGTGTCCTTGATGAGATTAGGAATGCAAGAGGAGATTTTTGGTAAGCACCAATTCAATTTGGGACATGTTCAGTTGGACTGCTTGTAATCTGAAGGGGAGGTGCCCCTAAGGCAATTCAATGTACAGCATAGGTTTGGCTTTTGGGATATAGGTCTTGGCTGGGGATAATGGATTAAAACAGTTAAAAGTAACTGGAGTGGATGAGAGCAGCAGCAAGAGCTCTAGAGTGCGAAGAAAAAAAAAAAGGCAAAGAACAGGGTGTGGGCTTCTCTGACATTTAAGGGTAGGCAGGGGAGAGGATGCCCGTGAAAGAGATAAGATGTGATCAGAGTTGTAGGACAGCCAGGCAGTGGGATGCCAAAAAAGCCTAAGGAGGGATTTCCAGAAGAGGGAGTTACCAAAGTGTTAGATGCTAAAGGGAACCCACATAAATTAAGTGCTTTATAAATAGAAATATAAAAGACTTGAGGCCCAGTGCTCGAAATTCATGCACAGGTAAAGTCCCTAGGTCTGGCTGGCGATCAAGGTCAGTTGGGTCCTTCCAGCTGCCGACCGGGGCCTGCCTTCATTCTGCACCGCCCTCTAGTCAGCACATGTCATAGTAAGTGAACGAACTCCTGGTTGAATTCCTAAAGGGACAATTTGCATATTAGGCTTTTATATATATAGACTTTTAAAATAGAAACATAAACATAAAGCTTATTTGTTTGGTCAGTGGTGACTTACCAGGACGCTTTCACTGCTGTATAGGGTGAGGGAAGGGAAATTGGAAGCAGGTCTTTGAGTTCAGGAGGGGATCACCCATTTATGTGACCCAGAACCCTGGGCTTCCTGCTTGGTGACTTCTGCTTCACTCCCAATCTAGTTAGACACTGAGTGTGGCATGAAACAGGATTCTTGAGTGTGACCTTGAGATTCAGGATTTCTGGATTTAAATCCTGGTTTCACTACTAGTAAACTGTAAAACCCAGGGCAAGTTATTTAATCTGGTTGTGCTTTATCTATACAATGGAGATACTAAAAGTATCTTATGATATTGTTATGAGTAAAGTGCTTAGCTTAGGGTGGGACACTGTAAGCACTCAGTGAATGTTAGCTGTGTTGAATCCTAAATATATTTTGGATTTGTTCTTACTGGATTGCCATAATAGTTATTTTTTCCCCCCCAAAACAACTTTATCATGGTACTAGAGGCCCAGTCAAGAATTTGTGCAGGGGGTGGGGAGTGTCTCTTGGCCTGGCCAGTGATAGGGCTGATTGGGGCTGATAGGGGGCTGGCTGGTCTGGAGGTGAATGGGAGAGGGACCATGGGTGGTTGGCTGGCAGCAGGAGTTGGCTGTGGGAACGCACTGACCACGAGGGGGCAGCTCCTGCATTGAGTGTCTGCCCCTGGTGGTCAGTGAGCGTCATAGCTACCGTCCAGTCATTTGGTTGTCTGGTCGTCCAGTTGTAACAGTCACTTAGACTTTTATATATATAGATATATAGATAATTTACCTATTATAAAATTGATCTGTTTTCTGTATACAATGCTTTCTAATAAATTTAGAGTTGTAAATTCAGTGAAAAGTCTGGGGAGGTAAGAGATCAACCAAAGGACTTGTATGCATGCATATAAGCATAACCAGTGGATGCAAGACACTGGGGGGCTGGAGGGGTAGGGTGGGGGCATGTGCTCGGTGGCAGGGGAAGCCGGGGAAGGTCAATGGGGAAAAAAAGAAGACATGTATACTACTATTTGTAATACTTTAAACAATAAAAAATAAAAGTGAAAAAACATTTTACAAAGTTGTGTAGCTGTCACCACAATTTAGTTTTAGAACATTTTCTTCACCCCAGTCAGCGCTCTCATGCCCATTTACAGTTAATCCCCACTCCACCCCAGTCTTAGGCCACCACTTATCTGCTTTCTGTCTAAATCCAGTGGCCTTTTCCGGGTACTTCACAGAAATGGAGTTATATGATCTGAGGCCTTTTGTATCTGGCTTCCTTCACTTTAATTCTTTTCTAGGTTTTTCTTTTTCTTTTTTTTCTTTTTATTTTATTGATATTTTACAGAGAGGAAGGGAGAGAGATAGAGAGCTAGAAACGTGGATGAGAGAGAAACATCGACCAGCTGCCTCTTGCACATCCCCTACTGGGAATGTGCCTGCAACCATACATGCCCTTGACCAGAATTGAACCTGGGACCTTTCAGTCCGCAGACCGATGCTCAACCACTGAGCCAAACCGGTTTCGGCTAATTCTTTTCTAGGTTTTTCTATGTTGTGGCATATATCAGAATGTCATTTCTTTTTATTGCTGAGTCGCATTCCATGGTATGGATGTATAATGTTTTGTTTATCCATTCACTAGTAGATGGACATTTGTTTCCACTCTTGCTGTTATGAATAACGATGCTGTGAGCATTCCTGTGCTCGTCTTTGTGTGGACATATGCTTAATGGCTTCTTAATTGGTCTTCCTGCTTCTGTTCTTGTCCCTGTTCAATCTGTTCTATACATTGTAGCTAGAGTGATCTGATCAGTCTGATTGTATCATTACCCTGCTTAAATCCTCCAGTAGTGCCCAGTGTGCCCCGGGATCAAGTTCAAACTCCTTAACTTGAAGGGCTTACTAAGAGTAGTCAAAAACCTAATCCTTTTTCCATCTTCTCTCACTAAGCCCCCTCTCCAGCTTCCTGCTTCAGCCATTCTTTTATTCATTTATGTTGTTCCATTCATTTATTTAACCATTTATTCAATTAACCAGACTTATTGAGGCTCTGGGGATAACATAGTAGACAGGATAGCCACATCTTTGCTTTCATGGAGCTTTCTTTCTAGTGTGAAAGGCAGGCAGTAAACAAGAAAGCATCAGCTACTGGTAAGTGCTGTAAAGAAAATGAAAAAGGATGATATGCTAGAACTGAGGGATGATGACTCAAATCTTGAAATCTGAGTGTTCCTCAGAGCCTCTGCCATATTGCCAACTGCTTATTTGTTTGTTTGTTATTCTTTCCTCTTGGAGTACTCTTATCCTACTCCTCTTCCTAACTCCTATTCAACCTTCCCAGCCCCATGTGCAGCCCCACTCCCAAAGCCTACCGAGATGCTCCACCCATTATGCTTTCTGAGTACTTTATCACAGGCCATCTGTCTTGAGTAGCACTCTTCGTATTATATTTAAACTAGAGATCCGGTGCATGAGATTTGTGTACTTGGGGGAGGAGGGGTCCCTCAGCCGGCCTGCGCCCTCTTGCAGTCCGGGAACCCTCGGGGGCCATCAGTCGGACACCCTTAGGCCTGCTGTGGAGGTGGGAGAGTCTCACGCCACACCACTGTGCTCCCAGGCTGTGAGCCTGGCTTCTGGCTAAGCACTGCTCCCCCTGTGGGAGCACACTGACCACCAGAGGGCAGCTCCTGTGTTGAACGTCTGCTCCCTGGTGGTCAGTGTGCATCACAGCGACAAGTTGTTCTGCCTTTCGGTTAATTTGCATATTTGCCTTTTATTATATGGGATGCCTAATGATTTCCTGTTTCTTCTCCACTTTAAGCAACTTGCTGATTGCTGAGTACCTAACGTCTCATATTATGCACATAGTTGGTGCATAATAAAATTTGTTGAAAGGCTGATTGTGGTTAGTTTTGAACAGTGGGGAGGACCAGACCATTTCCTTTGGGACTGGAGGGAAGGAAGGAGCTAAGGCCCATTGCACACATACATTAATTTGTAGGACTGGGGAAAGAAAGTTGAAGGAGTTCTGACGGCTTGCATTTTCTCAGAGGTTACCATTTAGTGCACAGTATAAAATGAGGAGAAACTATTTATAATGAGCAATTAGCAGTGCATTAGAAGAAATAAAAAGTAGTGCTTTGGGGTGCAACTTGAAATCTTAAAACTGTTCTTACTTGCTTTTAGTTTTATAGCTATTACATTTAGCCCCATTTCTTTAGGCCATTCATTATATATTGATATGGATGATTAAATTACTTGGATGCTATTGTACTGCTCTCTTTCTTGCTCTTTTATAATTGATTTTATTTTGATGTTGCTTTCCAGCTTTCGGAAAATGTGATTGATCGTATGAAGGAAACTTCTCCATCAGGCTCGAAGTCTCACCGATATTCCTCAGGTATTTCAGAATTTCAATATTAGATTTTTTTTGTAGCTGAATTAGAAGTCGTGAAAATTCATTCTATAGTCAAGATCTTTGGCACGTCTCTCTTTAGTTATTTGGACGTTCTGCTTTTTCTAGGGAATACCAGGGTTTCTTTTAAAGTGTTTTGAACTAAAAGTAGAAGAATCTGCTTTCAAACAAGTGTTTTGGAAATTTTTTTTCTCATCCAGCTCCTGAATCCTCTGTTAGGCTTTGGAAGATTACTCCATTATCTTTTTTTTGTGTAAAGTGGATTACTTGCAGAGATATTAGAGATTGAATAGTAAATATTTATTAAAAAATCAATTTAGAAAGTATTGATTTACTGTCTCCAAATTGTGAACTATCTCCCATGAGTATTTTCTAATACTTATTTTCTAAGTTTATAAACAGTCTATTTCTTTATAGTCAGTCTTAATTATTGATTAAAATAAAGTGTTAAATGAAATACATAGGGGATTATTAAGCCTCATTTTATCTGTGCATCATGCAATATAAGTGAGTATTTCTCTTTCCTTTCCTCTCTCCTACTTGATCCGTCCAGCTAATATTTATTGAGCACCTGCTATGTGTGGCACTGATCCTGTTGCCCCATCCAATGAAAGGACATGTGGTTTATTGGTGACGTGGCTATGAGAAAATAGTCAGGATGGTTAATTGTAGGCTGAATGAGAATTTCCTGTGTTTATTAGTGGTGTTGTGTGGTAAATCCGGCTACAGACTGGAATACATTAAGAAAAGTGAGGTGCTGTCCAAATGCCATTCACGTTTTGTAACCATTAAGTCATAACCATGAAGATATATTTACAGCAGAAGGTATCAAGATAGAGAAGAAGTAGTTCTTGCCCTTTTAAAACTTCTTGTTTAGTGGGAGCATTAGGAAGGCTGCATAGTTCAATAATGTTGGCTAGAGCGTGACCACTCCTGGAAACCCCTTATTTGGCTTCTGGGCTGCACTGATTTTCCTCCCACCTCACTTGCATCCTTAGTCTCGCCTCCTTTGCTGATTTCCATTAACTAATCTCACCTTTTGAATAATTATGTAGATGCTGTGAGTCCCCAAATTCCATCTAGCCTTGACCTCTCCATGTAACTCAACTTAGACATCTACCTAGTTGAAGTCTCCACTTGGAGATCTCCTTAATCTAGCTACAGTTGCTTCTGCTCTTATATTTCCCAGTAAATAGTACAGGTAGTCAAGCCTCCAACTGGGGGTTCATCTTGTTTCTTCTGTTACTTATGACATAACTTGTCTTGTCAACATCATCTCTAGAACATGCTGAATAGGTTCTTTCACACCTGTCTCCACTGTTGAGCTCCAGTACAGGTAGCCAGCGTCTCTTAACCTGTCTTCTGCAGAGGCCTCTTCACTGGCTTCCTGCTTTCTCTCTTTGGGTCCTTCAGCTTTGCCTTGCACACAGGGGCCTTGGCAGCCTTTAAAAAAACTAGTTCATGTCTCATCCCCTTGATGGGACTCAGTGGTACATAGAATATAATTTGAACTACTTTCCTTGTCTTCTGAGGTACACCATGACTTATCTTTTTCTGCTTTTCCAACGTCAACTTGATATATGGATATTGTTAAAATTGGGATTTGATCTGAAATACAATTTGTCCTAGGTAGATTTTTTTTTTAACCTAATGTGTTAAGGAGATAGAATGATGATGATGATGAAATGCTGATAAATATTATTTAAATAGTGTTTATTACATGCCAGCTACTGTGCTAAGTCTTTTACCTATATATCTTATCTCATTTAGTCCTAATAACCCTATGGGGAAGGTATTGTTATTAACCTATTTTGCATAGAAGGAAACTGAGACTTGAAGTGATTGTCTTGCTTACAGACACTCAGCTGGTAAGCAGTGGAGGTGGGAGTTGAATTCAGTCTGTTAGACTCCAGAGCAAATGCTGTTAAATATTGACCACTCTGTTTTATTGTAATTTGAATGACACCTTGCCCCCTTTGCAGAGGGGATGTGACAGAAACTACAGTTGGAGGGAAAGAACTGCTTTATAGTGATGTTCTGCTTGAGTTCAAGGAAAACTTTCTATTTATAAGTGATTATTGTTGCTCATACGTTGTTTTTTTTTTTTTTTTTTTTTTTTTTTTTTTTTTTTTTTTTTTTTTTTTGTATTGGTTTTTCATTCAATAGTGAGTTGAAGGAGAGAAAGTGTTTTCCTTCTTGGTTGGCTTCTTCATCTGACCCTTTGAGAGTGGATGTGGATGGGGAAGCTTTCTGTAAATGCTCCTGGTGTGGCCTGCAGAGCATGACCCTGGCATTGTAATCATCTGGCCGTACTGAGGAACCCACCCCTTCCCATTGCTAGGTTTGACATGACTGATGAACTCTTTGGTTTATGACCAGCCTGGGCACTGAACATTTTTTGAGTACATCTTGTATTCTGTTTGTCAGGCTAGAACTGCACTGTAAATGCTAGCCACTAGTCACCTGTGGCCTTTAGATTTAAATTAAAGTTAGTTAAAATGAAATAAAGTAATTTCAGCTGCTCAGTTGCACTGGTTACATTTCAGTGCTCAGTAAACCCATGTGGCTACCATATTGGGCAAGTGCAGGTACAGGACATTTTCATCATCGAAGGTAGTTCCATTGTACAGTTCTAGGCTAGACTGCATCAGTGCTTGGCAATGGGACCTTCCCCGGATGGTTTTAATGATGTGGTGACTGAGGTTATGGAGCTAGATGGCTCTGTGTTTGTGAATCTTGTTTTCTGCCTTTTCCACATCCCAGCTCCCCCAGGATTGTGGGTGAGTGGAAACACCAAGGCAGATTTCCCTCAGGTATACTATCTTCACCTCAGTCTTTAGCACAGCTTCCTAACCTAATGTCATAAGTGTGCTGGAGGTATTGATTCCTCAGACTCAGAGTAGCTGGGGAACACCTGTGTGCTCTCGTGTGTCAGATAAATTCTGTCTGCACCATGTGAAAAAGACTCAACAAAACTAATAGTGCAGCTTCTTTGACTACATTTCTCTCACCCTCTCCAACCCAGCCCTAGAAAAGAATGAAGATTTGCCATGCTATTTTGATCTTGCCTTTAAGTTAAGAAGGCAATTAGAGTACAATTGTGCAAATTAATAAAGAAAGCTTTCTTCTTCCTAAGATTAAAAAAACCTGTATAACAGTAGAAAGTCTCAAAGTTTGTTCTCTTCAGTATTTGTCTCATTTAGGGGTCTTATTAGTACTCAATAATAGATTTCTTGAGATATATAATTTATGTTACAGAATAATTTTTCAAGTCTACAAAAACACATTGATAAAAATGTCACCAAGCTTGCCTACATTTTTCAGTGTCAAGTGAATTATATAGTAAATGTGAATTGAAATTCTAATACTTATCAAAATGCTTTCTTCCTCACAAAACTGTAATTCATATCAGCCCTCTGCTATTCATATGTGTGAGTGTAGGGCAGCTGATTTGATGGAGGGAGAATCCTAGAATTTATTATGTAGAATCAACTTTTATCATATATATAGTTTTAAGAATATAATTTATTCTGTAAGAAAGTGAGTTACTCTAAAGAGTTTACTGAAACTATTTTTTGCCAAATCTTGAACCAGATCAATGACTCGTTGCAGTAAGTATTTGCATGTTCAGGCAAAATAATATACTGTGTGACACATGGCAGATTGTAATGCCACTTTAATAAATGAATGTGCTCTAAAGAAATTAACTGTGTCCCTGCTGCCTCAGATTCTTTGCTGTGTATTGTGTTATCTCAACTATATTGGTTTGCTTTTATAATAGGGAATTTTTTTTCTTTTGGCTGTCATAGGGTATGCTTATACTCTTTCCTTTTCATTAACATCTTGCCATCTTTTGATTTTACTTATTTGTTTTTAATTTTTGTTGAATTTATTGGGGTGACATTGGTTAATAAAATAGTATAGGTTTTAGATGTACAATTCTATAATACATCATCTGTATATTGCATTGTGTCAAGTCTCCTCACTCTCCTACTTTCCTCACCCCCTTTTCCTCTGGTAATCACCATACTGTTGTCTGTGAATTTTTGTCTGTCTTGTTTTGCTTTGTCTCTTCTCTTTTTTCACCCAGCCCCACAATCCTCCTTCCTGTTAATCTGTATCTATGAGTCTGGCAGCTGTCAGTCTGTTCTCTGTATTTATGAGTCTGATTCTATTTTGTTTGTTAGTTTATTTTATTCATTAGACTCCACATATAAGTGAAATCATATGGTATTTGTATTTCTTTGACTGACTTATTTTCACTTAGCGTAATACTCTCCAAGTCCATCCATGCTGTCACAAAAGGTAAGATATCTTTCTTTTTTTAATGCCAAGTGATATTCCATTGTGTAGATGTACCATAGCTTTATTATCCACTCATCTTCTGATGGGCACTTGGGCTACATCCAGATCTTGGCTATTTTAAATATCGCTGCAATGAACATAGGGGTGCATGTGTTATTTCAAGTCAGTGATTCCAGGTTTTTAGACTATATTTCCAGAAGTGGGATCTCTGGGTCATAGCAGCTCTTTAAGGTTCACTAGACATAACACTGTAGGGAGAGTTCACTGTAAACAAACTGGGCTTGTTCCTTTGACTTGAGTAAATAAGAACTGAAGGAAGTGGTAATATCAAAATTTCTAACTTTTAATAATCTGAAAATTTGCTGATGCCAATGTCTCAACTCTCCACTTATTTTTGTGTGCTGTAATAGATAATTTACCTGACAATTTCTAAAAGGAAGAAATATATACACTCTCAATTTAATGGTGTGATTTAAATAAAATTCTCTAGTTAGTAGTTTGAAATCCATAAACAGTCTACCTTTAATGGATGATTGAACTCCTGCTATTTTCTCCATCTGTCAACAAGTATTAGCATGCAGTGGTCTTTGACTTCAAGAACTATTCTTTTGGTGAAAGAATATTTAACATTACTGTGTAGTAAATAAAAAAATAGTGTAGTACCCTTCACCTGCTTAGTT